ATGCTCGAGGAGCCATCAAGCCCAATTTATCGGACTTCGTGCGAGAGAGATTGGCCAAAAGGATGTGGTCCACGGGCTAAGTTGAAGGCTAAGAAGCGCAGGGCCAAGAGACGATGCAAGGAGGCGAGCCATTGTTGTGGGTCGTGCGCTAGGAAGAAACGGGCATGGCATTCAGAGTTTCGAAGGCGTGGTAGGCAAGGGATAGAAGATGGTTGGATATGGCGTGCTGGAGACTGCATTGGGTTGGAAGGTTGGGAGCCATGGCCATCGGGCGAGAAGCCAGTGTCGATCGGCGACGGAGGGGCGAGCACGAGCCAGCAGCGCGCATCGTGCCTTGATGCGCGCGAACACACGTGGGCAACGTCCGGAGCATGCGGGTGCGTGGTAGGAGATTGGGGCACGGGCGAGGACCGCGACCGAATAGGAATAGGAGTGTTGGGCGCAACGCGCGGGGTGCGGGGACACGACGCGAACAGAACGGAGGCAGGCGACTTGCGCGATAAGCGCGCGCGTGGGAAGCCAACGCCCAAGAGTCCTAGGTGGGGCAGGATTAGGCGACGCAAGTGGGGGGATGCACGCGCAGATGTAGGTGGCGCGAACGGGGAGAGCGCTAGGGCGGTGCGCGTGCAACAGTGGCAAGACGCACGATGCCTCACGCGCCAAGGAGTAGGGAAGCCATGGGCGGTGCGCACAGGCGGTCCGAGTGAGGCAGCTTTGGGGCATGCAAAAGACTTGAGCTTCAAGAATTCTTGGAGTGCAATTTAAGCATTAGTAGTTTTAGTAATATTAGGATTTTATTACCATGTTTCTTTTCATTCTAGGATTAGGAGATCTAATTAGCTTAGGCTTAGATTTATTTTATGCACCTATAAATAGGGGTCTTCCCTCATTGTTTTAAGGAGTCCAGAATTTGATGAGTTGAATAGAAAAGGAACGTTATGTTCAGACCGTGTGTTAGGATTCGTGAGAGTTCGATCATGCAATCGAATTAGTGAGGCTAAGACCCGAGCTAGTTCAAAATCGAAGGAGCGAGGCTAATTACCGAGTGAACTCAAGTATCATGAGAGAGTTAGGCTAATAACCGAGTCGATCACACCTATCGTTGAGAGCAAGGCCGTGGCGACGCATTGTTCGAGGCAAGCGAGTGGAAACGAAATACACGATCCTTCATCACAGCGCCCCAGCGCGCAGCACAGCGCCCCAGCGCCCAGCACCACAGCGCAGAGAGTTGGGACATAATCCCATTATCCGTCAAGTAGCTCCTAAATTCATTCGAGAGATATTCGCCACCACGATCAGATCGTAATGACTTGATACTTTTTCCTAACTGCTTCTCCACAACTGCCTACTCTAAGAACTTCTCAAAGCATTCAGACTTGCGGTGCAGAAGGAAAATGTACCCATATCTCGAGTAATCATCGATAAACGTAACGAAGTACTCGAAACCACCTCTCGCTATAATACTCATAGTACCACATAGATCAGAATGAACTAGCCCTAACACATCTTCGGCTCTATGCCCCTTTGAACTGAAAGCCCTCTTAGTCATTTTACCATCCAGGCAACACTCACAAGTTAGAAAAGCCTCGACTTCTAACGACCCCAAGGGCCCGTCTGCTACCAACCTTTGAATCCTCGTAAGGTTAATAAGACCAAGTCTTAGATGCCAAAGATATGTTTCGTTCATTTTAGAAGGTTCCTTTCTCTTATTAAGATTAGATGATGAATTAAGTAATTATTTCTGTTGCAGTGGAGATGACTTAGATTCTAGAATGTATAGATTGTCAACTAATGAACCAGAACATATGAACTTTTTGCCAAAATGAATAACAACTTTATTATCAAACGTAGCAGAAAAACAGTTCATAAACAACTTAGAAACTGAAATCAAATTCTTTCTAAAACTAGGAACATAAAGACAATCCTTCAAAATTAGAAACCTATCTGAGCCAAAATCTAAATAGACGTCTCCCACTGCAACTGTTGACGCTCTACTAGCATCGCCCAAGTAGATGGTAACTTTTCCTTCCCTAAGTCGCTAGGTTTCCTGGAACCCCTGCAATGAACTGCAGACATGATCAGTGGCCCCCGTATCTA